GAGATACCCGCGGGTTTGAGGCAATTGGTAACCTCCTTGGTGTATAAACTATCCTCCGATATGTCTTTTTAGCCCGATTTACGCCTGCATTTTGAGAATTCTTTGTTTTGAATTGGTTAATTTTTGATATGCAAATTAAGGTCGAAAGGAAGGGTCTCTTCTGATCACGCTGGTATGAATTTGAATTTCTAGTGAAGTTTCCATATTTTGTCTGTGAACTAACTGAATATAGCTTGTAACTTGAAGCAAGAGAAAATAGACAATATTCGTATTCCCCGACGGCCCTGGGACGAGTAAGCGCTTGCGCGTGAATGCGAGGCTAATGCGGGGAAAAGTTGCTAAGAAATACAAGAGAGTTATGGCCGGTTTGGCAGAAATAGTAGTAAATTTTAAAAACTGGAAGGTTCCAGAGCTTATTAAATACCTGCAGGCTCGAGAAATATCTTTCTCCAACTAAAGGAAGGAAGAATTAGTCGAACTGACGGAAAAGCCCACGAACTCGCTCTCGAATTGACCGACGACTGTGAGTCCCTAAGTGATGTTGTGAATACGAAGTTGGTTATAAGAGATGGTTTAATCCAAAATCCAGAAATCCAGATGGTTTCTAACCTTCGATTGGTCAGACTTAGTTGCCTTCTGAATTCTGTTTGTCGTGGAAGCATTCTTTAAACGTCTCGTCTCTGGATCTTAGCATTGTTTCATGTTTCACCTCTTTTCGTTGGAGATGTTGAGGAAAATCAAATATCGTAGGAACAGGGTTTGCCTTTGTTGGCCCTAACCCTCCTACAAAGTGTTTAGCGCATATACGAGTATGCCTTGTGACGTTTGGGCTTTCCAGCCGGCATGCTGAGTTCCACCTTCGACGTCTTTCCTGTCCCCTTATCCCAGGAGCGTACTGTTTGTTTTCGTCATTTGTTGGCAACAGTGGAAAGTAACATTTGCAACTTTGGGGTATTTGATTGGGTTCTTTTTCTTAGCCTCGCTGTTGGTACAGTTGTGGGCATAACAATGATGTTTCGGCATTTTTTTACGCGAAATCGAAGAAATCACTACATAAACACTAGAAGTCTCTTCATCTTTTCCCGCATCAGCCTCGCATTCATGCTTAGGGCCTACTCGTCCCAGGACCGTCGGGGAATACCGTTAGGTACACTACCGCAGTCGCAGCGCGCTAGACAAAAGCTGTGAAATTTACACTTTCGATCGTTGTCTACACGGCCGGGTGGTCTAGCCAAAAGTAAATTTTCGCTTGTGGCGAGGCGAAAAAAGAGAATTGGAAAACAACCAAACTATTTTTGAAATATGTGTCCTAACCCTTTTCATAGGGAAAAAATTAGGAAAATTGTTTTTGGACGGGAAGTCGAGTGGACCGCTTTTAGCGGGAGTGGCATTTAAACCTTCTGCTCCACTTGGTTTTCGATTGTGTCTTTCTATAAACTAGAATTTCGCTTTTTCTTCTGTTTTCTTTTTAGCCACAAATTCTCCATAGCGTTTTCAAGCGCTAGAAAACAAAATTACAACGCCACAATCACACCACCAGCATCAGCCACGTCCTGATCACGTGCAAAACCGTGGCAGTTATCGAAGTCCCGAGCAGGGTATGGTATGGTGGCCGAGAACTGCCATTAAAAATATTCAAATTTATAGGATTTATTTTAGTTATTTTTTTTTAATTTCGATTTATTTCTCAATTTTCTTTTTAAAATAAAAGCAAGTGAAAGTAAAATAGAAATAAAATGAAACCAAAGATAAACGAAATTAAATCAAAATTAAATTAAAAATTAAAATTAAATTAAAATCATAAGTCTCTCGACAAACTAAGACGACTACTGTATACAAACGCAGTTCCTTAGTATCAAATGAATAAAGGCTGAAAGTTTCTAAAGAAATTGTGGTGCTGCGTCGGTGGGGATAACAAGCTAATTGGTTATATCAACTAAGTTGAAATTGTAAATTGGCCACCGTAACAAATGACAAAGTTGACGTTTCGAGCGTTAGCCCTTCGCTCAAAACGTCAGCTTTTTTATTCGTTACGGTGGCCGATTTACAATTTCAACGTAGTTGATATAACCCATTATCTTTAGTATCAAGCTGCATATTAGAGGCCCTTTCTGAGGAAGTTGGAAAACATATAAGAGATTTTATCACAGTTGCCTAGATCTACTCTACTAAAGATCCAATCACAACACGTGACATTCGTTATCAAGTAGTGCTGGCGAATGCACTCACATCAAGTTGTGGTGTTGTTCCTGACGGTTCACTTTCCTGCATTTCTTCATCTCCAAACTGTTCTACCTGGACGAATAAAGGAAACTTTTCTTCTAAAGAACTTTCTTCCTGTTCATCTCCACTTTGGTCTGCCAAAAGCGAATCTTCATTAATGTTATCCAGGTCTCCTACGTCTAAATCTACATCCGCTGCGTCACAATTGATCTGTAATTGAGCATCTTCATCATCACCCTCAGGGGCAACCACAAATTTTGTTATCGGTACCTGTTAAGTTTAAAACACTATTTGAATACTAAATGCAAAACATTCTCCATACTAAACAACCTAAGTTTGCTAACTGCCTTGGATACATCGCGGTATACACAGCTCAGCCATAAAAAACTGTTCTTGTAGTTATGTCCCAAACGATGCAAGAAATATATAAAAGGCCAACTGATAAGAAACAGTACAAACCTCTGACTGTTGTTCATTCTGTGAATCCTTGCGTTGGCTTTTCTGCTTTGAGGAACTTGATTTAATATCCTTATCAAGTACTTCATATAAGACTACTTCTTCTCCCTCCTTAGGTTCCAACACCTGCTCTAACTCCTTATTCCGTGCCAGCTGATGTTCTTCATATTGAGGGTGCTCCTGGACATACGTCTACGAAAAAAGTGTTAACAGACGATTTAGTCTGGGGATCGTAATTTTTATCAACAGTTCATATTTTTTTGGCAGTAACTCGCAATTTGGCATGAGTTTCTCCCTAGCTCCCACTTTAGAAATATTGGCAGATTTTTCTCCGACATGTATTAAGCACAACAAACAAGACAAACTTACCTGATAGTTCTTTTGATGCTTTTTGCCTTTAATATGAGTAATCACATCGTTTCCACAGCGGATGAATGCTTTGCAAAGGCGGCAATTAAATCCTGACACAGCTTTGACAAATTCACAACCTAAAAGAGAGAAAAAAAAACCGTAAAGTTTCTAAATCAAACGTTTCACCATGGCAAGTTAATCAGAGCGCAACAATCAGAGATCCTGGTTGGACCCTCTCGTAAAATTCTTAAATTTTTAGCTCTCCTAGTTATAATGTTTTTCTTCTCATCACCTTTCTGACTGAAAATGCATCAACACTGTGAGTGGAAATTCCTATCTGCTCACTGATGGGAATAAAAGGGTTGGCTGTCATGGTAGTTTTATGACCTTTGTATAAACTGAAAGATACTTATCTAATTTATGCCTCACCTAACATGTTTCTTCCACTTGTAAAGCCCTCAATCTGGACCCTTGACTGTGTAACAGATGAGATGGTGATGATGTCTCCCTCTTTCATGGCTGTCTTTCTGGTGTTACACGTGTATTTAACAAAGTCTAGATTAAGGTCAAAACCAGGAGTGTGGACAGCAGAGGGACTGGGTACCTCTCCACCACTCGCCTTCTCCCTGTCGTCAGATTCATTGGCAGTTGTCTCCTCTTCTGTTCCAGATTTATCTATAGGTGTTATGCCCTTGAATATCACAACAGACCAGCAAAATGAATCAATTGAAACTGCATGTAGAAGACTACATTGCTCATGTAAAGTTTTTGCTGACAATAAAGATTTAAGTACTGGCTTACATTGTACTGCACTGCGACCTTTTTTGTCAAAAAAAAATGTGAACTGTNTAATGACCCAGGTAGTCCCCTTGTTGGGGTATCCATCCCCGCCAAAATTCAAACTTGTTGTTCAAACATTCAATTCGTCACTTCAAACATTCAAGTCGTCACTTCAAACATTCAATTCGTCACTTCAAACATTCAATTCGTCACTTCAAACATTCAACTCGGCAATTCAAACGTCCAATTCGTCACTTGGAACACTCAATTCGGCAATTCAAACGTCCCATTCGGCAATTCAAAGATTCAAACGTCCCATTCGGCAATTCAAAGATTCAATTTGTCAATCGAACATTCACTTCGTCATTTCAGACATTCGATTCGTCAATTCCAGCATTCAATTCGACAATTCGCCCGTTGAAATATCAATTCTGACATTCACTCTCGACGTTCAAAGCTCCGATATTCACTTTCGACATTCAAACTTTGAACATTCACTCTCGACGTTCAAAGTTTGACGTTCACTTTCGATAATTACTTTCGACATTCACTTTCGACATTCACTTTCGACATTCACTTTCAACATTCACATTCGACATTCACTTTGGACATTCAAACTTTGAACATTCAAACTCAGCGTCCGTTTGGTCTGGGTACGAGAATGAGTCTCAGTCTTTTTCGTGAGTTACGTTTGGCGCGGCGTGACTCACTTATAATCGAAATAAAACTTAGACCGTGCTTTAAGGATGGTAACGGACCATGAGATTCTAATTATAATCATGTTACGTAAGGAAAGATATGTTTAATTTATTGAATATTTGAGTAAACTCGAAGTTTTTTTAGAATTTTAAGCATATCGCTGCGCAATTTTCTGGCCTTGAAGGCAAGTAAACAACGATCTAAGCATGATGATGAATTTTACCGCGTGGGCTTTGTACACGTAAGAAATTCGTACGTTTTTCGATTATAACAGCAAATGGAATACTGTTTTGAATAAATCTGTCGTCCCGAAATATTTCTTGGCCATTTTAGTTTTGCCTCTTATTGATAGATTCCATGGAACTTGCGATCTCTCCACTCACGGACAAATTTGCATATTCCCTTTTGAAATATGATCCACATGCCCATTTGCACACATACGTAAATATTTTGCGATTTTTAACTTTCATCCTGATTTTTTAGTTAAAACGTAATATGCACTTATCGCTTTTTTCGTTGGAAATAAGTTTTTTAATTAGTCTTCTTTCACTGGAGCTTGCTTTTTGGAAAACGTGATTTTTACAAATTTACAGCGCATTGTGTTTGCTTTCTTGTTTCTCCAAAATTTTCACTTTTCGTGGGCACGTGTTACACGTAAGTGTCAATGGGTTAAATTTTTATTTCCCATTGTTCCACACCTAGTATCAGACATTACCATACCCAAAAACAAAGGAAAAGAACATTCAAACAAAGGATAAATTCAAACCACAACAGATAAAATTGTGTCGTACAAATAACTTTTGACGCACAGTGAGTAGTCGGTAGTTTTAGGCTTATGAAGAAATTGTCATTCTAAATTATGCAAGCTGTCAGCACATGTACTAACCGGTTCTCAATACGCACCCCCCACAAGAATAAACGAGATTGAACTTATATTAGAAAGTTAACAGCAACATTTAGGACCGGCTATTGAAACGAAGTTTAGGCGAGGTTTATTAAAACCTCGGGCTAACTAGACTTCAATCTGCTCAACCCAAACAGGTAGGCGTTCTTCACCATAATTAAACTGTAAAGCAAAGCAGGCATATGCCACAGACTAATTTGAATTAAACATATCTTTCTTACGTAGCATGATTATAATTAGAATCTCATGGTCCATGACCATCCTTAAACCACGGTCTAAGTTTTATTTCGATTAAATAATGGGCCCTAAGTCAGTCACGCCGCGCCAAACGTAACTCACGAAAAAGACTGAGACACATTCTCGTACCCAGACCAAACGGACGCTGAGTTTGAATGTTCAAAGTTTGAATGTCCAAAGTGAATGTCGAATGTGAATGTTGAAAGTGAATGTCTAAAGTGAATGTCGAAAGTGAATGTCGAAAGTGAATGTCGAAACTTTGAACGTCGAGAGTGAATGTCAGAATTGATATTTTAGACGGGAAGTCGA